TTCTTTTCTGGTCCTGTCTGTTTGGTGTTCTATATGCTTCTTGTATTTGTATGTGCATATCTTTCTTTAATTTTGAGAAATTTTCTTCCACAATTCTGTTGAAGATTTGGTCCATGCCGTTATCTTGGGATTCTTCTGTTTCCTGTATGCTTATGATTCGTAAGTTTGGTCTTTTTATGGAGTCACACAATTCCTGCATATTCCATTCTTGTGATTTCTTAAATTTTTCATAATCTTTGGTTGAGTGTTCTAGTTTGTCCACTTTATCTTCCAGTCTTGATACTCTGTTTTCCATTTCATTCATCCTGTTGGTGAGCCTTTCCCCTGTCATGTCTAATTGGCTTACTGAGTGTTTCACTTCCTTCTTCACGTCAACCTGAGTATTCCTCAGTATTTCTAACTCTTTTCTGAATTCATTCAGAACTTTATCCCTATCTTCTATCAGTTCATTGATTTGTGTGTTCTTAAATTCACTGAATTCTTTTATCACGTTTATAATTGTTTTTTTGAGTTCCACGTCCTGTGTTATCTCTAGGGGGTTCTCATTGTACTCCTCTATAGGAGTATTGGTACTTGGTTAGGATACATTATTTTGGTTTTTCATGCACCCCCCCCCCCCCGCGTCTTTTTTTTTGACATGTGAATTTCTTTTGTAGTTTCTGGTTCTTGTGTGAGACTCAGGCCTTCAAGTTTAGGTCTACTTCTTTTTGTGAACTTTATGTGTCTTTGTGGTTTACTTTTTGGGCATGAAAAGCTAGTTAGTCTAAGCTTCCGGTTCTCTCTCTTCATTTTGTATTGGAATGGCCGGATTGATTTTTTCTTCAGGAGTTCCCACAGAGGCCCAGTTCAGATGAGGGTCAGATGATTTCAGGCTTTCTCCTAAGGTCTGGATCCCCCCAGGACTGATTTTGGCCTCAGGAATTTGGGAGTTGGACTGGCCTGGGAGCCTGGCCCAGAAAAGATGCTGGTCTAGTGCAGCTGGTGGCCATGCCACCGAGAGATGCAAAGGCAGATGGGGCAGGAAGAGGCCGCAAGGACTCCTGGGGACTGCACTCAGGAGCTGGGTTGGTCTGGAGAGAGGCCTGCGGGTGTGAGAAAGCGATAGGGAATATTTTATAAAATGGAGTTCCTTAAAGTGGTGGCACATGATAAAGTACTATACAGGACAAGTATGCTTTATGTATCAAATTAGCACTCTGTAGACCACCTTTGCAGCTAAGGGTGTAAGTAGGAGATGTATCTGGTGTATTCATGTAGAATCAACATCTATCTTCATGACTATGCCCTTTCTGAATTTTAATCATTCAACCTGTGAACATCTGCTTGTGTACTTGGGTTTCTTGTTCCTTCCTTTTCATGCAGCCCAATGATAAGTGAATTGTTCAAACCCAGTATCTTTCAGTCCCCAGGGTTTTCCCATACACAAAAATCTATCAGAAGTCACTGCAAGTCATGATTCTCCCTTTATATAACCTTTCTGTCCTTCCTGGCATAGAACTGCCCTCTTCAGCCCCTTCCTTCCTGTGCATGCCATTTTTCATTTTATTTTTTTCCAATTATTTTCCCTTTTTGTTTTGTTTGTTTTCTGAGACAAGGTAGTGACAATGGCCTTGAACTTCAAATTCTCTTGCCTTGGCTCCCAAGTGTGGAATTATAGGTGTATGCCACTGTGCCTGGATGTCCCAGTCTTCTTGAAGAGTGGCTTTTTCCTCATTCAAACTGAGAAATAAAACATTGACATAATTGTGTGGACAGCATAAAATACCATCAACTCTAGTATTAACTAAGATGAAAATCTACCTAGTTTTAAAATGGAGCTGAACAATAAATAAAAAGCCAATGTAACCATCAACCAAGGGTCTGAACAATTCCCTTTGAAACCCATTAGGAAGAGTGTAATCCATCACGATTCTCTTATGTAACAAATGAAGGAAAGATCAGCACTTAAAAAATTATGTCTGATTCTGTTTTGCTCTTCTAATATGTGCCAGTTTACTTAATATTGTACTTCTATTATTTTGTATTTCAGATGCTTTACATTTCAAGTATATCAAAAACTAAATTGATATTTATGAGCTAATCTGGAAACCTATCAGCCGTTCATTTCACTACATCTGGAAGAAAACATGTGCAAAATCCAATCAGCTGACTTGTAAAGGGATTTTAGAACACAACTCAGTGTAAGTTTTACTCTTACTGTGTTTTGGTCTTTGACAGCTCCAGTTAGGGCATGTGTCTACTTGCATGTGTGGAGAGGTGTGTGTGTGTGTGTGTGTGTGTGTGTGTGTGTGTTTTGTGTCTTTGTCTTCATGTGTTCTTTGGAACAATTTCGAGTTCAAAATAATTTTGGGTTCCTTCTTTGAACAAATATATGACTGCCTATTATGGAAAAGGTTCAATTCTAGGCCCAAGATATATCCAGAGATGAAGTTCTGTCCACACAGAGATTCTACTTTAATGAGGAGACAGACATAAGCAAAATATTTTCCCAAACAAGGAATGCACAGCATGATACAAGCTGTGAAGGAAGGTCCTACAGCTCTGTGGATGCACGTGAGCAGGTCTTGACCTTTCTTCACGCCAGAATGGGTTCCTTGGAGAAGATGAGGTACTTGCTAAGATTTCATGGGTGGGCAGGAGTTAAAAGGACAGAGGGAATGATGGGAGGAAGGACAGAAGGTGGTATAAAATACTCCAGAGATACTCAACACCAAATGTGCTCAGATTTTTAGCCTAAGCCAACCATTGAAAACGGATTATCACTGTACTAGAAGATAAGAGGGCACATATGAATTCATAGACACTTGTTCTTTTTGCTTTCAGTTATGAAGTACTCCTTAAGTCCTGACATCTATTGTGAAGATGGAATTATGAATATGGCAACTTTCCTACGGGGCTTTGAAGAAAAGGGATTAAAGAATGACAGGCCTGAGGAACACTTCAATAAAGAGAAAAAGAAAATTCTGTTCTCCTTTTGTGAGGTGTGCAACATCCAGCTGAACTCTGCAGCCCAGGCCCAGGTCCATTATGATGGCAAATCTCACCGCAAGCGAGTCAAGCAGCTGAGTGATGGGCAGCCTCCACCACCAGCCCAGGGTACAGGGCCACCGCTGGCCAGCCCTGGTCCCGGCATGAACACTGGCCCAGGTAGGAAGTGAGACCCTAGGAATCCACTGATTTCTGAAAAAATGATTCTGTTATAGAATAAAGTGTTTATAGCAAGGTATCTTTCACCTTGAAACTACCACCTCAATGTGTACTCTTCCTCTGCAGGTGAAAACTAGATGTTTGTTCCCCCTCAGACACACACACACACACACACACACACACACACACACACACACACGGAGGCAGGTTGGAACATAGAGTTCCTTTTCCCCCATGTTGTATGAGCTTTTCTTAGTATTTTGAAATGTATTTAAAATTGATCAGAGGTGACCATTTTTTCCATCCTTAAATATAGGCTTTCTTTGTATTTTTTAATCTACTTTCTATTGGGTAGTATACTCCTTGATGGTATGTCAAAAGCTACAGCTTTATTTATACATCCCATGATTCAGGAAGCATATATTAATCTTGTGATTAGGCTTGTTCATTCTTTTAGAGGGCTGCCAGCAGTGCCCTGGCAGAGTAGACACAGGAGCAAGCCTTGTCTAAGCCACCAAGACTCTGCTCTGAGTTCTCACCATCAGTTTCCTTTTCCCTTCTGCCTTTCCATATGAACTAGGCAGAAGTAGAAGCTTAGGTTAGGAACTGTCATTCCTGTATCTGCCCTGATTTTTGGAAAGTCTTTCCAATCCTTCATCTTATCCTCGCACAGTCTTTCCTCCTCCACAGTGCAGGTCACTGGTGGCTTCATCCAAGAGAACTAATGAAAATGGAATCTTCCTGTTAATCTGTGGTGGAGATTTCTACTGAAGGTAGGCATTCTACTTAGGCCAGAACTGATGCCCCTAGACATAGTAGAACTCCCAACTCTACCTGGCAAGTGTTTGCTCATGCCCCAAGGCCTTATCCTAAAGTGAGATGATGCAGGAATTCCACATTGGATCCTGTATGGTATTGATTTTGTGCACTTATACCATGATCCACAATAAGTACAACAGGGAATTGTGTGTGTGTGTCCCAAACAAATAATCTTTATGTTTAAAGCTAAACCCAACTACTTTTACCTATTATATGGTTTGACTTCATTAAACGAATTCCTCTAACTGACATTTATCATTCTGTGAAAGATCATAAAGTGACCTATTATAAGATACATGCTTACAATAGTGAAAATTACTTTGTGTTTCTATTTATTTATTATGATAATATTTATAATTGTTCACAGAAGCATTTATGTACTTGCATCTTCATATTAAGAATGTGGTTAGTGTTAGGTTAAAAATTGATATCTCAATTAGAAAGCAAATAGCCTGAGTATTAGTTTGAATTACATCTCAGTCCAAATGTCAATACACACCATAGTCATTTGGATTACGTTCCTGAAGAATACCTGGTGGCAGGGAACAGTGTGTGATAACTTGCTGTGTGGAACAACAGGAACTGAAGTGACCACACATGCATTCTTTGGAATATTTTGAGCCTCTACTCAATGAGGACTAAGCCTAGCATCAGTTCTTTTTTCAACTCAGTTTTAATCTGTCCAACTTCTGCTTCCTGTTGGGTAACCGCTCTCTTAACACTCTCAGCCCATAACTTCTCACTTTGGGATATTCAGAAGGACTCTTGATGCAGAAGATTGAGTTATATTTATAAAACATCCATCTCATTGCCAAATGAAGATTCAGCTACATGGTCCCTGGAGTTTAGAGTACAGAGCTGGCACAGTCACTGTCATCACACTGCCCTGCCTCAGCCTGGATTCAGTCCAGCCTGGGAACATGGTGGGAATGTAGGAGTATCAATTATTTTCCTTTAGCCTTGGCAAAGTTGTAGTGCTTCTCTTGGTTGGTGCCTGCTAGTTGAGCTGTTGTATGAGTTATAGGTATTCCTGACCCTGTGCATACAGGGCTCCCCCCAAATAGTCCCTTGGTCATTGGAGGTTCCTTGTGAGATCGCTGTGTCTTCCAGTTTACCCTCAGCTGAGAGCACAATGTACCACTCTCAACTCTGTGCCTCTTTCTTCCCAGCTGTGGTAGTGCTGATAAAACTGTGCTCTCCATTATCATATGTTCTGATTCAGGGGGGCTTGAGGGCCCATCCAGAATCCATCTTGAGAACTCAGAGCTAGTAGGACCTAAGCAGGTACAGGTGGAGCAGACTGTGCAGGGCCTTCTCTTCCTTGCTCAGATAGCATAGTGAGGCTGGCAAGTCCAAGGACAAAGCAGGCACCTATGTTGGCCCATTTCTTGGCTTTAGAGATTGTTATGCATTGAAATATGCCCCCACCCCAATAAAACAGAAGAACAGAAAACAAAAATAAAACCTATTTCGGAGTCTTGTTCTCTGTACAATTCTCAGAATGAGACTTTATTTGGAGAGATAGTCCTTACAGAAATAATTCAGTTAAAACAAAGCCATTAAGGTTGTTTCTAATTTAAAATTCTTGTTACCACTGGGCATGATGACATGAGCTTTTAATCCAAGCACTCAAGAGACAGAGGCAGGTAGATCCCTGTGAGATGAAAGCCAAAAATTGGAAATGTTTGCTTTATGAGCTATCATGTGAATAAAATGAAAGTACAAACTGAAAAAGGAACAAAATATTTGAAAACCACAATCTAACAAAGGACTAATATCTAAAATATACAAAGAACACTGTACTCAAAACTCAGTAGTAAAGAATCAAGTATGCAAGTAGAAAATGAACAAAAGGTGTTTCACAGAAGAGAGTAAATGACAAATAGATGCATGAAAAGAGTCTCGGCATAATTAGCCATCAGGGAAATATGAATACCAAAAATGTTGGGTTATTAAAGCCTATGAAGACTAGTGAAGTTATTGAATGCATTTTGCATTATGAGATGGCCACGAGTCAGGAGCAGAATGCTGTGGTTTGAATGTGAAATGTCTTCTATAGGCTATGTGTTTCAACACTTGGTCAGCTGGTGGTAGGGTTTTAGAAGGTTTTGGAACTTTTAGGAGATGGCGTCTTGCTAGAAGAAGTGAATCTAAAGGAAGAGGGGTGGGTCTTAAATATCATATCCTGGCCCCAATTCTAGTCCTCTTTCTGACTATGGGTGCAGTGTGACCAGCTATCCCACGCTCCTGTTTCTATCACTGAAAAAAGTAAGTGTAACAGAAGCCCTTCCGGTACTTCTGTGCCTTCTTCTGAGGTGTCCTACAACCTAGGAAACAAAAGGATCACTGAATGGAAATAATGTGATACATGCTTTTTCCTGGGGAGCCACAGGAAAAAAGCACTCCAGGTAGGGTACCAATAGACAAAAATGTGATTCCATACAAGTTCAGCTTGGTGAACCAGTGAGTTTATTGGGGTACTCACAGGTGCAAAGGTGAGGGGCTACAAACAGGATTAAGGGTGACTTTCAGGCAGCTCAATCCCTGAAAAACCCTATCTCAGGATGACTGATAACTCACAAAAGCTGAGTCACTGGAGACCCCTGGTGATGCAGCAGAAGCTGCACCACTGGAAAGTCCCATCTGCAGTATGGACTACCCATAAAATTCTGCATCACTGCAGAGTCGCCTGGACAACTAACACACAGCTACACTATCAAAGAATCTTAAACCCTGGTCAGTCTTCCACTTTCTTTACAACTGCAGGAGCAGAGGCACCTCATGAAGATAATCCAGGTACTCTGACTTTAATATAGCAGTGACCATGTCACATCCAAAGAACAGAGTTCCTCTACGATGTGGCATAGCCTTGCAACCCCATGCTCTGGGAGCTTTATAAACATCCCTGCTAACTCTATAATGTCACAAAAATAGTAAAGACAAATGGAAAGACTGGTGGAAGCCAGCAGATGAACATGCCTGACTGAGTGCCAGATACTGTGCTGAAGAGGTTATTTCTTGAACCTTCCAGCAGGTTCATGAGGAAGGAACTATTGCTGTTATATGGAGGGAACTGGAGTTAGGTGACAGCTGGAAGCAGCAAAGCTGGGGTTTGGATAAGGTAGAGTCTGTGGGCTCCTTACTGTGATGTTCCTGCCTCTTATTAATCGATATAGGTTGGACTGGGCAGATACTACCAAGTGTGTGCTTTGTGTTCTGTTCAGACAGGATCTTACTGTAGAAGCAGAGTCACAAAACAGATGTGAAGTTCTATATACAGCCTGAGTCTGCAAGCAGATCTGTCTTTCATTGTTCAGAGGCTTCCCCTGCCCATCAGTCAGACATGCCTCATGCTCTGATACCCCACTGCTCTTGCTCTTTGAATCAGAAGCAGATCATTTTTTCTGGTAGTATGATAACTGTTCTTTTTACATTTTGTTCATTCTGTATCTTCAAGAAATGTTTGTGTCTGCCATGGAGAATCGTGCTGCCTGTGGGTCTGGGCAGGGATTGACTTTGTTTGGGAGGTTTTGAGCTCTGTATTTCCTCAGGATGAGGAAGGGTTCACTTTGGGAAGTTGCTTCTGGTTCCGTCCCTGGCAGTGCTTTGGCACAAATACTATTTGAAGATAAGAAAGGTCAGGCCAAGAACACGGAGGTTCTGCCATTCTGCAGGAAGAGACATAGGCAGACTTGGAATGAGTTGTGGTGAAGGTGCAAGTTACCACAGAAAGACTGAAATAATGACATCTACCCTTGACTGGAGGTGGCTGTGGCTCTCCTTACATGGTAGAGGAGGAAATAAAAGCAGGAGAGATGAGAGGCTTTTCCCGAGGCTCCACAAAGAGTCATTCCGAGATCTTCCTTGAAAAGCCTTCTACCTTGCAATGCTTTCTGGAACTTATTTTTCACAAAGTAAAAAATGAAAAGAATTTGTGGCAACTTCTGTCATCTAACATTTAGCTTTTCTTGTTGTTTACTAACTAAAATGTCCATTTTCTCTCCCAGTTGCAGCAAATCCAAAATAAATTTCTCATTCTTATGGAAAGGGTGACATGTCAAGGCTAAAAACGAGTTAGTCATGTGAAGAGGGTGGAGAAAGGACTCCACAGGGAGAGAAGGGCACATTCAGAACCTCAGGTTGAAATCAAGCTTGGTGTGTCTGAAAGGCAGATGTTTAGA